AACAGACACATGAGTCCTATATGTGACATAATACACGTAGGACACAAATTGTCATGTAGGACACGTGTGTCTGTTAGTTCAACTTTATACAAGCTTAAGTGTCTACTTGTGCACACAAAAAATTGAAGGACATAAATGTAAAATGAGGTCAAGTTAAGGGTATTTTTATGTATTATGCCTTTTAATTCTCTAGTTTTTCAACTCTAGTACTCTTGTTAACTTTATAGTATATCAAACAGGATGCGAATTACATGGATGGACAAGGGCAATGAAAAATTCACACCATACAAGTAAGTCAAATTCAAATCGAAATCGATGTCAATTTCATTTTTTTCTACACTTGAAAGAAGAGAAAGTAAACAGTAATTCTATACGGTGTGATTAAAATATAGGAATATCGGAGAGGTTCGTTGTCTAAAGAGGAGTGATATAGTTGAAACATTTGCTGATGCTTTGCCTCCAATGGCTATACGTTTTGGATGCGATATTGTGTCTGTAGAAATGGATCCTATCACTTCCTTACCGAGTCTTCTACTTTCTAATGGAAAGCGTATTGGTGCTAAGGTATTCTTTCTCTATTTGCTCTGTCCTCTTTTATGAATTCCCTTGACAATGGAAATTTCTGATGTATTGGTGGTAAGGGTGGCTCAATAAAATAGAAGTTGATTACATTATGTTTGAGTGATCGTTGCAGGTTTTGATCGGGTGTGATGGATGGAGGTCAATAGTGGCAAGTTTCCTTGGATTAAAGCCTGCAAAAACATTTCGGACTTGTGCAATCAGGGGTTTAACAAGTTATCCCAATGGTCACTCGTTTCCTCTCGAATTTGTCCGTCTCATAATTGGCCAAACCGCAGTTGGGAGACTACCGATCACTGATAAGTTGGTACATTGGTTTGTTTCTGTTCAACAGGGCATAGGTATGGTAATCCAATTTGATGCCTCTTGTTATAATGTGACTTCAATTTTGATACTTTTCATGATCCCACAAATGAATTTTTTCTCCGTTTTGTGTCCATCTATCTTGTTTTTTGTATCGTCTGATTGATTTTGTGCACATTCAGATGCCAAGTTTCCACAAAATACACAATTTATCAAACAAAGAGCCATGGAGGCAGTAAGTGGTCATCCAGCTGATGTACAAGAAATGATAGAAAAATGTGACTTGGATTCTCTGTCATTTGCTCACTTGAAATATCGCGCACCATGGGACTTAATGTTTGGAAATTTTCGGGAAAAAACAGTAACTGTTGCTGGAGATGCAATGCATGTAATGGGTCCATTCCTTGGGCAGGGAGGTTCATCAGGAATAGAAGATGCAGTGGTGCTTGGAAGAAACTTGGCAAAGACGATTAACGGAAATTGTTTTGATCATGAAGAGGCATTAGATCAGTATATAAAAGAGAGGAAAATGAGGGTGGTAAAACTAGCAACACAATCTTATCTGACTGCCCTTCTTATTGAGAATAGACCAATGCTCACGAAAATTGTCGTCGTTGCTGTGATGGCCATTTTCTTCAGAAACCAAAGTGCTCATACTCAATATGACTGTGGTCTCCTCTGATACCAAATGTTTTGCGCTTTTGTATCCATCTTTTGTTATCTAGGACGCGTGTGTCTACTTGTTCAACTTTTTACAAGTTTAAGAGTGATCAACTGCAACAATAGTTGCAGCTTATTTATTGTTCTGTTTTTATGGGTTTATCCTACCATAATACTTCAATGAATACACAACAACTAATACGGCCATTGTTAGAGTAATGCAAGATCCCCAAATATATCAGGGAATTCCTTTTACACATTATTGATAGATAGAATATAAAGATCCGGATGAAGTTAATGGCATATTCGAGTAGATCGATCATGAAACATACAAACTCAATGAGGACAAACGAAGAGAATTGTAATGACCCTCGTGGTCGTTTGTGCTTTCAAGTTTTGACCCTTCTCGTAGTTTCATTATGCCTTTTACGACTTCTCAAGAAGGGTGACACGATCTCCAAGGCAATCATATGAGTTTCGAAGAAGATTTTCTTTCTTGGAAGTTAGGTTTTTGGAAAGTTTGACCAAAGTCAACATTTTGGGTTAGCGAGGTCAGATTTGAATCTTGACAATCTATTGGGTCTGGAGAGTGATTTGAATCATTGGATGGATTCTAATATTTTGAAAAAAGTTAGATTTAACCTCGATAAACATTTGGTCAAAATGACCACTAATAGGTATTTTGATGATTTCAACAGGTTCGAAACGTCTTTTATCATCATTCTGCATATTTAGTTTGTATCCGTTCCAAATGAATTCCATAGGGTGGATTGAAGTTTTGGTTGAAGCTTGATTTTGCTAGTTTTGCATTCTTGTGACTTCTAGTGCTTTGAAGTTTTGGGGTTGACTTTTGAGCAATATATATGTCTACGGACTCATATACAAAGAAAAAAAGGAAGCATCATTTGTATCTGCATGTGCTTTGCAAAATAGCCCCAAAACCAAGAATTTTTCCCTGCAATTCATGGTCTATATCACTCAAACTCCACTGGTAATAATAAAGTAAAGCCAGCATCTTCAACATTGTGGTAACATAGCAATAGGAAACAAAAACTCTACATAAAAATGTGAATACATTCAATTTGGTTAGAACCAGTTTGCAATTGCTAACTCACCATCCCAAAAAACACAGGTGTTAATGCCTCTAACCAGACAACCAACAGGAAATATTTTCATTGTATCTTCCTGTCAAATACCATCCTTGGTTACCAAACAGGTAGTTAAATATGCATACAAAAACTGTTAATCTTATCACACACATTGACACAGAAACCACACGTTTTACGTAATTGGCCAATTCAGTACCTTGTTTAACAAAACTCATTGAGAACAGGGGCATCAGTCTGCGTTCGTAGCCTCAAATGGAAAATAGAACAGTTCTGCCCGTGTGGAAGCTCTGGGAAAACGCATCAATTTTATGGTGATATTCCTTTCTTCCTTGGAATCAATGGCTATCCCTTGCTGAATGTACATCCTTACAAGAGATGGAGTGCAAGCACATAATAGCTTTACAAAAAACACTTCAGTTTTTGAACACTGAAAAGAATTGATGGTCACATACTCAAGCTTGTTAAGTGGTCTATTCAAGCAGGTTGGTGTCTCCAGATATTTCATAACTGTTTCAGCATTGTCATCGCCATCCTGGACCTAATGTATAAAGAAATACCAAGACATTTTAGCTTCTCAAGTTCAAATAAATGAAGAGCAAACATGAAACCAAGTAATAATTATACCATTGCACGACAACATATATGTACTATTTCTTACCGTAATATGAAGTTTACTCAAATTAGGAAAACTCTTGATTAACTGTACAGAACAAGAAGTCTGATCCAATTTGTTGAAATCAACTCCTAAGTGTAGATACCACAAGCAGTTGAGCTTGGGAGGAAGCTCATCCAGAACTATATTTGCATTCAAAAGCTTTCAGACAAGTACTATAATTAGAATCCGATGAATACAATCAATCACTTTTTCCAATTCAAGTGAAACGTGTAGATTTCTTACCTCAAGGACCAAGGAACCCAAACAAAGTTGTTCAAGTGAAGGAAAGCTAAATAGAAACTTTTCCAAGGTTTATATTTCATCATGTTTTGGATTATCCTCCACTTTTTCCAATTCAATCACCAACACGCTCATTTTTTTGCAATTCATGAAGCAATTTAGCACGAGATAGTGACCCGCAAGAACAACCAAGGACTCCAACTGTGGTGAAACCATCTTCAAGTATTGAGTGCCACAACAGAACGTCAAGACTAAATCCACAAGAAGGGGAACATCGATAACACAAAACTGGTTGGTTGGCTCAAATGTTATTCTTTCTAGATGAATATACGTAAGATTCCGAAAGCCAAGAAAATAAGTTGGTGGTTTGAAGACACAGTTGAAGAGTTCCAAATGTGTCAAGGTCGGACAGTTAAATACATAACGCATCCATCTATTAATACTAGCATATGAAGACAAATTTATTCCTGAAACGTCGAGAACAAACTTCACAATGTCTCCAACATGCTGTAACAGAATCTCATCGACTGTTATTCTAAAAAAAATTGCAGATTTTGCTGTCAACTTTTTGCAAAAATAGTTATTTAGCACTAGAAATGGAAGTGAGACCCAAATATCTCTCCATTTACTAGACAAAATACTAGTTCTTGCTGCATCGTGAACAGGCAAGAGCTCAAGGATAAGATCGACCACGTTTCTCGGCAGAGCAATGATTATATCTTCTTTTTCCCCTTCCACAGCAGCTCTTTTACTAGATTCTAGAATAAGTTAAAATAATCTTATTAGGCTTAACATTTATAATCCAAAAAAATACAGAGAATTTTATACCTTGTTTAGTCATGCTGGCTGATTGAAAAATTGTGTCTGATTCAAAAAATAGTACCAAAATGCACAGAGGTGGCAACGCGTATTAAGAAAAAAGTGATATGCCCCGGCAAAGAAGACGTTACTGCAGTGACAAAGCGCACGTTGCCAAGCAACTGAGCGCGAGCAAAATGCCACGGTGAAACCCTAGATTTTAGGGATTTTTTGGTTTGGGTTTGCATAGGCTCATTTGTTTTCATTTCCATTAAAACGTTTAAATATTAAATAATAATATAGCTTGTTTTCTATAAAATTTTGTCTTTATTTAGAAAAGAATAAATATAAAATTAAATAAAAACACTAAATTAATTTAATATCATATGAATAAAATATTTTAAAATTTTAATATGGATTGATGGTATGGGGTGTTCAAAATTGATCCGTAATCGATAAGTCAACCGTAAAATTGGCTTATTGGCTTATTCGTATTGGGTTATTGAATAAATGGTTGGTGGACGGATTAGAATTTTATAATTAAAGGCTTATTGGTGTGGGGGCAAATTATTCAATTTCCTTATAGAATAAACCGTTAACCCGTTAAGAGTTACCATACTTACACATTTATCTTAGGCATGTTAGTCTCTTTTAATATTTTGCCATATATACAATTCTATATTGTTAGTCTTAAAGTCGTAAAGACAAAAATTGAAACAACTATTTACTTTTTATATTGTATTAACTATTATATTACTATTAATCTATATATTTTTTGCAATATAGAAGAATTTAATAATTTAACTGCATTTAAAATATTGAAAAGAATTCCTCTTTTTAAGGTGCGTTCATAGAAAAAAAAAGGTAGATGTTACCCAATACACCGCCCGATAATTGTTAATCTATTAACGAAAAAATCGATATCTTATTGTTTGGCTAACGAGTTAGTAAATTTAAAAATCGATCTGATAGGCCAAATCGTTAAGCGAAATAATCCGCCTGATCTGCCCGATAAGCAATCCTAATTGCTTGTGGTGATGAATAATGATGGTGATTGTTGGCTGAACTCATCGATGGCCCCCTAAAGTTGGCACCAATTTTTACTTAGACACTTCAAATGAGCTTTGTTCATTTTAGACATCTTATGCCAATGTCATTCCCCACTGTGCCATTTTTGATACTTTTTTAACAATCAACAAAAGTTACAAAATGTGTGTTATACCCTCGCGGGATGACATTATAATAAATTAAGAAAAGACATGTGGCAATTTGGGTAAAAAAAAAGTAAAATTTAATTATAAGTAGAAGAAAGAAAAAATATATAAACTTATATTTTAAAAAATCAATCAAAAAAGATTTCAGTTTCTAGGAAGTCATTTCAATGACTAAGATCTAAAAAAAATTTTGCCGGAAATTGTTGTTCCGCCGGAAAAATTGAGAAGACTTGGATCCATTTTTTTTTTCAATGACTTCTCATATTTTCTTTTATGACTAATAATTCTAATTATAGATAAAATATGTTTTGGTATAAGCACTCCTCACTTCCAACCTTAAGGTTGTGAATTCGAATTCCCAAAAAAGTATAATGTGGTGTGGGAGCTCCGGGGAGGAGTTCAAAATAAATTGAGATGGGAGGATAATAGGGAAAATTAACCTTTTTTATTACAATAATAAATTTGTCCCTAATTAATACATTTAAAAACAACATAATTTTAGGTATATAAAATATAGTCATTAGTGACGAAATTAAATTTCGTTCAACTACGAAATACATGTAACTTTAGAAACAATTGATTTCCTCACTAATTGAAGTAAAATAATTATCGACGATATAATTTTATCTATAGTAATAACCTTTTTAGTGACAAAGAATACTATTTTTTTTTTTAAAGTGAAAGTGTAGGGGCAAAAGCCCCATTTATTCAATTAAAAAAGACAGCTTGTACAAAAACAGTCTGGTCAACGACCCAGACCAAACAAGACAGAAAGGCAGAACATAACAAAAAATAAGAAGAAAAGGGCAAATATTGCTGGCTGTTGTGAACAGCAGCAGTTCGCGCAGAAGTAAAAAAAATAAAAAAAATAAAAAGAAGGGTTGGAATACTACCTGCGGCGGCCGACAATGAATTCAGGTGAGAAGTTCAAAATTTCGATTCTTTGAGTACGCAATATATTGCTAAATATGTTAAGTTGTCCATTGTTCTGGAAGGAAAGGTAGTATTATATAATATTATATGTTGGTATGTAGTGAATTGGATTTCTTTTTGTTTGCTGCAATATTGATTTTTCAAATTAATGTTAAGTATTATTATATGGGTTACTATTCACAGGTTATAGTAAGTAATCATGAAGTAATTATAACCAATGATTGGAGGATGTTATAGTATAGGATAAATGCCCTAACAACGTTCTGCCTATTAGTTTCACGTTTAAGTATTGTTTCTTAAGTGAGTTTCGATTTCAGATTTTATATAATTATCATATTATGATTAAAGTTTTGGTATATTGGATAGTAGTGGGTGTATAGTAGTATATGAAGATCATTAAATTTATGTTATTTAGAGATATTGAGACTAAACCCTAGGCTTGAAATTTGGAAAAGAACTTGAAAGAGTTGACATATTAGTTGGTATCAAGATTAGGATAACTTGATTATAGAATCGATGTGAGTTTTTGGGTCTAGGCTTAGACCTGTAGTGATATGGTGTTGTTAGTTTTGAAATCTTATTGTGATCATTTATTTGAATAGATTGCTTTGATTTGAAAGTTCAATGAAAGGGGAAGACTCAACTCCCAGAGTGATTGTTCGACTATTTAAGGCAAGTGGATTTCTAAACCCTTGTTAAGTGTATGGAATTCATGTATTTCCTTGTAATATGTGTTTAGGGTAATGAGGCTTGGTGATGGGTTGTAATGACCCGAAAAATCATTTTTTGGAAATTCTGAACTATTCGTTTAACTTTAGCTAATTAGTCGATGGATACTATATTTCGAGGGACGTGTCGCGCGCCGCGACGGATACTATATTTCGAGGGACGTATCGCGCGCCGTGATGGTTACTATTATCGAGGGTCGTATCGCGCGCTGCGATGGATGCATGGACAGATATGTCCCCCATGGGTCCCGGACTGAGAGACAGCGGGTGTGTATCATTAGGTCAGACATGCATCACTATACTTGACATTGCATTTCATTGCATTGCACTTCTTTATTATTGGTGAACTTGATCTTGTGTGTTGCTGATCTTGTGAGTGCCTTTCTATGGAACTTGTGACTGATGAATATTGAGCTTGTTGTTGAAGCTATGCAAATGTTAGAGTGTTGTTGTTAAGGATATGAAACTATTGTTGTTATTGAGGATATGAAATTGTTAGAGTGTTGTGTTGAGCTATGTGCTTTGTAAACAATGAACTGTTAGGTTGGGCTGGTTTCATACAGATTGTATTTATGAAGGTTTGGTTGAGGTGTAAGGAGTACTTGTATTCTATCCCCTTAGCTCGTGTTTAGAGGTTTACTTGCTGAGTACCGTGTGGTTTGGTACTCACCCCTTGCTTCTACAAATTTTTGTAGGTTACGAGCCTGGATTTTTGTGGTACTTGTTATTCTCGTCTTTTTCGAGGCTTCTGGGAGATTTGTGAGGTAGTTGTTTGTCTTCTCAGCGATCCTTCTTACTCCTGTTTATGATCTTGTTCTACTCTAGAAACAATGTCATATGAGACTTGTATTTTTCTTTTGATTCAATTGTAATACCTTAGAGGCTTGTACACGTGACAACCAGATTTTGGGGTATATTTGAGTTTATTATAAAAATTTCCGCATTTTATTGTAATAGTTGAGTTTTAGGCTAACTTGTCTTGGTGGGTTAAGACGAGTGCCATCACATCCATTTTTGGGTCGTGACAACTTAAAGTTGTATAAAATTGAACAAATATACACATTCATCTTACATAACATCCTAAATGATAATTTTGTGTTCTGGATAGTGTCTTACGTGTATTATGCCATGTATAAGAATGTGATATATATTTCTACTTGTTCTATTTTAGACAAATTTAAATATCTACCTATACACATTCAAAAATTAAAAACTGACAAACATAAATATCAATTAAATTATTAAAATCAAATTAAAAGACATATTCATATATTATGAATTTAAAAATTCCAAAGTATTAATACAATTCCTAATGATAGAATTGAGTAAAACCGTGTGTCCCCCCTACATGTTGACAGGCTATTTGGGTCCTAGAGAGACAGGAATTAAATATGGTCAAACTTTTTTTCTTGCAAAGTATTCAACCCCTTCTTGGTCATTTCCTTTTCTACTCCACTTGTTTACTTAAATAACATTAATTTTTTTAATATATAGTGAGATCCAAGCAATCACTTCCTATCAAACAGTCATAAAGAAAAGAGAGAAATAATTAAGATGGAGTCAAGTGGTTGTGATGAAATTCAGGAGATAGTGATAGTAGGTGGAGGCCTTTGTGGACTTGCCACAGCTCTTGCTTTGCACAGGTTCTTTTCTCTCTACTTCAGTTTTTCTTTCTCTTTTTTACTTTCTATGGACAAGTTATAATTAACTAAGATATAAATATTGGGAGTGAGATGTGAATTCACTCCCTTTCAGACCAGAATCTTAATCTGATGTGCTAGACTAACTTCATCATTTCAATATTTAAGATTTATTTGGTTACGTGAGATGAATCATGATTTGAAATAAGGTGGAATGACACAAGTGACTCTGGGACTTGATTCCATTTGTAAACTTTGATTTTTATATATTTATGATTTTGCCAATTAAACACTCACTAAAACACAATATTTTTAACTTTTGATCATTGATCAAACTTATGCAGCACTGATATTGCTGAGTTGAAAAAATGTGTCAAAGCTAATAAATTTAAAATATTTTACATTAAAAAAATATTAATTTTTTTAAAATAAATTGAAATAAGCTATAATAATAATAAAAATAATAACAAAAGCTCTCCTCCTCCTTCTTAATACCATCACCCAACCAAACTTCGGTATTGAAAAATTTCATTGACCAGTTTGAGGAAGCTTGAAGAACACTAAATGCATTTGTGAATTTATGAAATTGATTTAAAATTGTGATGAGAATTTGTTGGGTTTGTGTTTGTAGGGTAAAATTCAAGTCAAATTTCATCATCTATTTGGTATGAATTTGGCTTTCAATTTGAGAGCAAATATAACATAATGTTTAATATTTCTGCAAAAGTATTTTTTTTCTTT